GGTGGTGGTGGAAGTGGAGGCTGCGGTGGTAGTGGTCGTGGACGAGGACGTGGTGACATCACCAGCACCATCACCGTTACCGTCGCTATCATCACCCGTGTCAGCACCAGCACCACTGCGTGAGTTGAGGCCAAGGTAGCGTCGCTCTGCTGCCTCGCGGTGCTGCCGGTGGTACCATGCGCGGACAGTGACGCCGCCCTCAGCGCCACGCTCCACCAACGCGCCCTCCATGTCAGACACGATGCGTGCCCAGATGAGCGGGGGCACGCGGCGGACGGGCGGCACCCACCACTCGTAGATCTCGTCCAGAACGGTGTCGTTGCAGGACAGCAGATCCTCCATCTCGTTGTCGCTCAGCCCACCGCGCGAGGCAGAGAGGTACCCGAGCGCTGCTCGCACCGTTTCCTTGCCATGTCGCGTCTCCAGCTCATCAAAAACCTTCTCCATCAGGCCCTCCACCGTCTTGGGAAAGAAGTCGGGTGCAATTGCGTCCGTGTGGGTCCAGCGAAGCGCAAAGAACTGCGTGCAGATGCGGAGGTACAGCGGTGTGGGGCAGGACTCGTAGGCGCCCAGCACAACACTGCGCTGTGCAGGGGTGAGGGACCGCTTGGCATCGGCCAGCCACGTGCTCAGGATGCCGTCTGCGTCATCTTTGCTGATCTTGGCCACGTGCTGCTGGTTGGTGTCTGGCAGCGTGGCCTTAAGCACCTCCCAGCATCCGCCCACATCCGGCAGACTGGAGATAACGATGGCACAGTTCGGCGGCAGCGATGCGAGCGGCAGCCAGTCCAGGTTGCGGCCCTGGTCCTCGTCTGAGAGCTGGTCAAGCGAGTCCAGCACGAGCACCAACGGTTTGCGAGCAGTGCCAAGCTTGAGGGCGGCCTGGAATTGCTTGGTCAGCTTCTCAAAGTCGGCTGCTGGCGCTGCTGCTGGCTCCTTTCCTTTGATGCGCGGTGGATATGGCGGTACACGTTGGCCATCAGGGTGCGAGCAGCGCCGCTCTCCCGCGACGTGCCCAGGAACCGCGACACCACAACGGCAGCTGGGTGGGCTTCCTTGATGACACCTATGGCGTGTGTGTGTATGTATGTATGTGATTGAGTGTGTGTGTGTGTATGGTTGTGAGCGTGTGTGTGAGCACATGACGAAACAGAAGAAAGCGGAACGCATCCCACAATGAGGACATGCATGAAGGCAAGCACAACAAGAGACATTCGCATGCACGCACGCATGCACACACACACACGCACACACAACGCACCTGCGATGTGAGCCATTAGTGAGGTCTTGCCACTGCCAGATGGGCCACAGATGGCAAACGGAGCTGCGTCCTCCTTGCCACTCGTGATGCGCTGTTGCACGTATGCAAGGGCAGCATCAACCGTCTGCTGCGTGGCTGCTGTGGACACGAACCCACGACGCCGCAGGTTGCCGAACATGGCGTGCGCCGCCGCCTCCTCCACCACTGTATCGCTCTCAAACGCGTGCTCGCGCGCAACACGCTCAATGTCCGTCGCCAGCGTGTCGCAGAAGGCGTCGGCAAAGGTGCGCATGTACTCTGCGTGGTCGGTGCGAGCGAGGTCGATGCCTGGTCCCCATGGGATGGACATGGTCTTGATGCGAGATGGTGACAGAGCAGCCGGCACCGCCTCTGCACGCAATCGCTCCAGCAGCTGCTGCGCCTCCTCGTCCACCTCGCCATTGGTCATGTCGATGAACAGCTTGGCTGTGTCTGGGTCCGATGCAACGTCAATGCCCTCCAGCCGCCGGTCAAAGACGAAGCACGCCTTGTCGCGCGCCTCTTTCGGCTGCACCTTGAACAGGCCGTTCTCAATCTCCTCCGCCGTCACGCTCTGCACGTACAGGGCGCGTCGCTCATCAGACAGCCCAGGAGCTCCCGTTGCTGCCTGGCGCAGACACGTCTGCAGCGTGGGGAAGATGTCGGACCACCACGCATCAGAGTGCTCCTTCGTCACGGGCTTGAGCTCGCGGGTCGGTGGCACGACGTTCTCATTCAGGACGAACCACTCGTCCATGTACTCCATGGCCTTGTTGAGCGCAGCTGAGGTCACAGTGGAGGCAGTTTGCTTGGCTTGCTTGACTTGTTTGGCCATTTCCTCCTTCAGCAATTTGAACTCCTCCTCGGGGATCTTGGCTGGAAAGGGGCGGAAGCCGTACTTGTTGCCGAGGATGAGCACGTAGCTGATGCCGCTCGATTCTTGCTGGCACCTCTTGATCTCCCGCATGCAAATCTATGAAACGCGTGTGGTGTTGGGGGGTTAGGGGGTGGTCAGTGTGCGCGTTGAAGCTCAGTGAGAGTGGGAAGGGATTGTTGGATTGCAAGGTGCAACTTCATCCAGCACACACACACGCACTCGCAAACACGCACAAGCACACACACACAAGCACAAGCACAAGCACAAGCACACACACACACACACACACACACACACACACACACACACACACACCTCGCTGGTTTCGTGGGCGGCAGAGGCCTCGGAACGGATGCCCCAGCGCATCTCAGAGGACTGGTAGACTTGCACACGCAGGCGCTGCCCGAGGGACTTGAGGTACGGATACACGTCCTCAATCAAGACGTTGCGCTCCATCTCCGTGTCAGTGAACGTGGAGGAGAGGAACAGGCGGATGGCCGGCTGTCGCGTGCCCAGCGTCTGGATCTCGCTGTCGGGGAGAGCGTCGCCTGTCAGCAGCTTGACAACGGTGTTTGCGGGGCGATCGCGTGGGTTCTGCCGGATGTGCAATGCTTGTGCCAGCAGTGCATGCCATGTCGCCCTCTGGTGTCGTGGTTCGCTCCAAAGCTTTTCTCTCTCCTGCTGTCCGTCAGTCGAGTCATCACGCGACTGAGTGTGCTCGCCTTCTTTCTGCTGAGCGCAGCACTCCGCTGTTGTCGAGGATCCGTACACTGACAGTGCTTGGGCATCGACCTCACTGGCCCCATCGCTGTTCTCTTTGCTGTGTGTGCAGCCCATGTTGTCAAGAGCAAGAAGAGGGGGTGTGGTCTGGTCGATGGTGTCATCACTGCCATTGCGGAAAGTCACTGCAAGACTTTACCAAGATGATGGATGACAATCACAAACAACGCATGGTGTGCTGTCGTGCTCATGCTTTGGCTTCCCCTTTGGCTTCTTTGTCTTCCATCCTCTACTACGACGACAACATTGTTGTTACATTGCATGACCTGATCCTTCAATGAACTCGAGACACTACCGAACAAACCGGTGTCACATATCTCATCTGCTGTGGAACTCTCCACTGCACATCCCCAGTTGAAAGATCGTTTACTGTTATGTTACACCACGTTATGTTCGGATACGCGCCACACCTTTCGCTTGGACGCGCTTGAGAAAAACACATCACGCGCTGATCCCACACGCACCAAGCTCCTCCTTGACACGAAGCAAGTACGTTGCATCCGGGTATCCAAAGGGGCCCCTTCCAATGTACGTCTGTACAGATCATCCAAGGATGCGCGTGTGTATGTGCGTGTGTGCATATGTGTGTGCATGTGTGGACGTGTGTGATTCGGTGCAAGGCGATGGAGTAAAGTTGAAGACCCCGAACACACAGACACACACACACACACACACACAACACACACACACACACTCCCCCTACCTTGTGGTGGATGCCGTTCCAGACGACGGTGTTTGAGACACCTGTTGTAATTGATGTGCCAACTCGGAAAATGACCCTTCGATCGAATGCCACTTGTAGCAGCGCCAGCACCTCGCGGCCTTGTTTGTTGTTGGGCAGATACGCCACCCTGTATGTGCCCGAGTACATGCAGCCGGGATGCTCGTGCCGCTCGTCTTGCCGACCACTGTGTGTGTGTGTGTGTGTGTGTGTGTGTGTGTGTGTGTGTGTGTGTGTGTGTGTGTGTGTGTGTGTGTGTGTGTGTGTGAACGAGCAAGTACGCGCGTGAATTGTTAAGTGTGCGTGTCAACAAGACGGTCCAACAGTGATCATCACGCCTCCACATACGTGCACATACGTGCACACACCAATCCCCCAATGCATCGCCTCAAACCCTGTGCCCTGGCTTTCGTTTACCTGGGAAAGCTGTAGTTGATGACGATGGTGCCTCTGCTGTCGCGCTCATGGCCAGCGCATGCGATGTGCGGCATGACGGAGACAGACATGGTGCCGGCTGGCTGCGGGCCCTGCTGGGGCGCAAGCTCGACGAGGCACACGGGGCAGCGCGTGTGGTACTTGAAGGCGTGCGCAATACAGTCGCGATGGAACGTGTGCTTGCAGCCGCGCAGGGAGACAACCTCCTCCCCATCTGCCGGCACCACTGCCGCGACCTTCTTCTGTACTTCCGTCTTTGTTGTCGTAGTTGTTATTGTTGTTGTCGTTGTTGTTGTCGTTGTCGCTGTTGTTGTAGTTGTTGTTGTTGCAGCCTCACTGTTGCAGCTGTACTTGCTGCTGCTGCTGCTGCGGATGAAGAGGCGTGGTGGTGGTGAGGCCGGGGAGGGGCGCGAATCCTCCTCAGCCGTGTCGCTGCCGCACCCGGAATCGTCCGTGTCACTGTGGGTGTGTGGCGCCTCTGTTGCCTCCTGTGTTGCCTCCTGTTGCTGCTCTACATCTGGTTCCGCACTTGCGGGTTCATAGAGCTCGCACGCGCAGACGGCGCACACGTCGTGCAGGTGATCGAGGGGCGCGGATGTGACTGCGGTGAGCTGCTGCATGGCCAAGCGCAGGCACTGATCCTTTGACGGCGGTGGGTCGAACCAATATGCGCTGGTTTGGAGAGTGGCGTGCTCATTGAGAACTGGTTGGCGCACAGGCCCCTGTCGGTGAGACGAGCGGCCACGACCACGTCCACGGCCGCGTGTTGCTGAACTTGCACCACCACCGCTGCCAAAGGGTTGGCGCTGAGAAACGGGATGCGTGGAGGACGCTGTCTTGGAGAAAGCTGCAATGTGGCGCTGGATGCGCTCGTCCTTGTGCGCTTGCTGCTTCTCAATCACGTCCTCGAGCATCTCCTTCATGTCCTGTGCCTGACGACAGCAAGGCATCAAGATGCACAGCGTGAGGTGATGGGAGTTGGGGCAAGGAAAAGAAGGAAGGAGTGTTGGCAAGGGGAAGCGGTGCTGGCAAGGCAAGTGAGCCAGAGCATTGCGCCTATGATCACGCTGTGGGCGACTGCAGCAACGAACACCAACACTAACCTTGCGGGCGTCTCGGCGCAGCTTTCGTTGTTGGCGTGGGCTGAGCTTGCTTTCCTTGCGAGACTGGCGAACGGCCTCTGCGCCCTCTGCTCCATCTCCACCAGTCTCGCGCGCCACCTGCCGCCAGTGCCTAGTTTGCGCACGAGTGAGTGAGTGAGTGAGTGAGTGAGTGAAGTGAGTGAGTGAGTGTGTGTGTGTGTGTGTGTGTGTGAGTGAAGTGAGTGAAGTGAGTGAGTGAAGTGAGTGAGTGAGGTGAAGTGAGTGAGTGAGTGAGTGTGAGTGAGTGAGTGAGTGTGTGAGTAAGCATGCGTTGAAGAGGGCGCGGAGATGGTGAGCTGCAGCAAACAAACAAACAAACAAACAAACAAACAAACAAACAAACAAACAAACAAACAAACAAACAAACAAACAAACAAACAAACAAACGCTTCTTTCGAACGAATGCATGGCCGTCTTCCTCTTGTATCTTGCCTCACCGTTGCTTTGTTCCTTTGGAACGCTGTGCGTGCCTGTATCGCACAGACGTCTTCTCGAGCTTGGCCTCCCAGTACTCAACGAGGTCACAGCTCACATCGCTGAACGGCGACCCAAGCACAGGCATCTTGCGAGACATTCAACAGGAAGGAGAGGAACAAAAGAGTCAGCAACAAGCAACAAGAACGCGTCGACACACTCTGATGTGCTGATGTGAGCCTTGGTGGTGGTGTAACGTAAATGCGGCCTCTGCCACCATCATCGCTGTTGTTTGTATTTGCTGTGCGTGTCTGTGCGTGTCTGTGCGTGCGGATGTGGTGTGTGTGCGAGGTGTGTGTGCGTGTGTGTGTGTGTCCTGGCGGTTACAAATTCCACCAAAGTTACAGCTGATAATTTTTATGGTGTCGCTGACTGGCCCCTCAGCAGAAGTGGTGCTGCGTGGTTTGTTGTGGGAGAGCGAGCGTGCGAGCTGTGCTGCTGCTGCCATTGCTGCTGCTGCACTGCTGTGAGATGCGCATGGAGAGGTCCCTGACGCGGCGAGCGAGCGAGTCACGCGGGATGGCGTGGCCGTGCTTGTGGTGGAGGTACTGCTTGAGGATGTGCACTTCGGAGGCGCAGTCGAAGCAGTGGTCGAGGCCAGGCACACCCTTCACGTCGTGATCAAAGTGGCTGGTCCGTGTCACCGTGTTGAAGTGGAACATGTAATCCTCATACACCTTGTGGTTGTACTCACGCGACGATTCCTGAGGTTGCGCGCGTGTGAGTGAAGTGAGTGAGTGCGTGAAGTGAGTGAGTGAGTGAGTGTAGGTGTTTGGTGTGAAAGAGACTGTTGTTGAGTGTGACAAGACAGCAAGCAGTATCCCGACATACAAACACACACACACACACATTCTCCCCCTCTCTCCTTCTCTCTGTGCCGCAACGCATCAACCATCTCACCGGATCTGTGACGACCAGCCTTGTTTCTGTGGTGGTGCGGCCGCCCCAGCAGGGGAGGTAGACATCGCCATCCAGGTAGGTCGTGCTGCTCGTCGTGTCGCTCCGGGTCGCATACGGCAGTCTGAACTTGAGCATCGCAGCCTACAAACAACACACAAGCACACACAGACATAGATACACACACACACACAACCAATGAATGATGGCAGCACATCGGAACACGAATGCAAGAGCCATACATCACGCACACCCACTCCTTTGCCCCACCACACCACACGCCATGGCACCGTACCATCGGCTTCATGAGCTTGACCCACTGCTGCTGCCAGAGCATATCGGCAGCCACGCGGTTCTCCTTCTGCTGATCGTTCATGCCGGCGTCCATCGACCGCACGTCGCAGATGAACACCACCCCATCCTCGTCGGCCAGCGCACAGGCGAGGTCGTCCGTGAAGTAGTCCTGAGCGTGTGTTAGGATGTGTGTGTGTGTGTTGGTGTGTTGATGTGTGTGTGTGTGCAAGGGTTTGTGTGTGTGTGTGTGTGTGTGTGTGTGTGTGTGTGTGTGTGTGTGCGTGCGTGCGTGCGCGAGGAAGATAGGCACACAAGAGAGAAGGAAGATCAACGATAGAGAAGGCACGCAATTCAGGTGCCGTTACAACACCCCCTCCCCCAACACACACACACACACACACACACACACACACACACACACACACACACACACACAAACAAAACAGGTGCACGTGCCTGCTTGATGATGATGTTGTCGGCGGGGCGGCAGACAAAGGGGGCTGGGTCGACGAGCACCCAGCGAAGAGTTGGGAACAGCTCCCGTGACAAAAACTCAATGTGGTCGCCAGGCGCAGCGCCGGCATACACCACCGTCTTAACTCGTCCGCCATCGCCAGCGGCACTGACAACGCGGGTGAGAAACTCAATCTCGGACATGAGGAGTTTGCGCTGGCCCCAGTGCTCAACAGTCTTCACTTCGCCCTGCCGTCGCAGATATGGCGACCGCGGTACAAAGTCTTTGCTTGCAATGCGGTCATCATCACGCAGCTCACGCCCCGTGATGACCAGCTCCCGCTTGTTGGCAAACACCTGGTGCATGTGCGGGTTGTCCTCGTAGATGCGCATGTGCCGTGGGGCGATGGTGGCGACAATGGGGTTGCCGGCCTTCACGCGCCATCGAATCTCACCACCGCCATCAGCACGCCGCCGCACGTAAAACTCGCGGTAGTACTTCTGCCGGTCAAACAGCGAGCGCGTGGAGCCAAGATGCCCCCGTCGCCGCGAGAGCTCCTGGCGCGAAAACTGCAGCAGCTGCCGGCCCGTTGCCGTCTCGGAGGCGTCGATGCGACGCGTCGTGCCCGCGTCAGCGAGGATGGCCGTGTCCTTACGGTGCTTCTCAGAGTGGCGCGTTTGTGCGCGCGTTGGCACTATCACCTCCCCCGTGTGCGCGTGCACAAACACGGCCAGGCCGTGCTCGTTGAGCTCCTTGCGCCACACCACTGGCGGTGCCGACCGCAGCGCACGCCAGCTCAAGGGTTTGGACCAGCTCATCTCCAGCGTGCGCACGTGTCGCCAACACGGCTGCCCGTCCGGGGTCTGCTCCTGCACCCAGTCTGATGGATTGTCGTCAACACTGCCACCGCCAATCTTTGCCTTTGTCTGGTCAGCGCTCGATGTGTCGCGCACACCACTGCTCACTATTAGAGCCGTGTCGTGGTCGTGGTGGTGGTGGTCGTCGTCGTCGCCGTCGTCGTGGTGGTGCTGGTGGTGGTGGTGCTGCTGCTGGTGTTGGTGTTGGGTGTCGGGCTGCATGCGTGGTTGCAGGCGATCCAGCATGGATTGTGGTTGCATCTGCAGCATCGCACTGGCTTGTTGTTCTTCTTGCATTTGCGCCTGCATTACGCGTGCACGGTAAGCGCGAACGCGGGACGCATTCTTGGGCGAGAGCAGGTCGCCATCGTCTTCGCTGTCGTACGGGTCAGATGCTCTCATTGCCAGGCGTTGCTGATGCAGTCGTCGTCGCGCCTCTGCCGCGGGGCTTTCGCCGACCTGGCGCTCTTGCTGGCGTGGGGTTTCCAGCAACGGTATGCGGGGGCGCCCCTGTCTTGAGGAGCTCAAGAACGAGCGAAGGTCGCTGTCATCTTTGCTTCTGTCGTTTCTGCCGCCGTCGCGACGGCGGCCTCCTTCTCCTTCATCGTGCTGTTGCTGCTGCTGCTGCTGCTGCTTCTGCCGCTGCCAGCGAAGCAGGTCTCTGAGATCCTCTCCACCACGATGAATGCCTGGAGAGCGACTTCGCTGCCGATGCAACCGCGCAAAGTGCCTGCGGCTGCGTCTGGGGCTGCGACTGCGACTGCGGCTGCGACTGCGACTGCGGCTGGGACCTCTGCGACTGCGACTGCGGCTGGGACCTCTGCGACTGCGACTGCTCCTTCGTTCCTTGCTCCTGCTCCTGCGCTGGCCACGCCGCCCACGACGTGATTCGTGCACCCTTACATGCACATCGCGACGCTCGTCGTGCGGTGTGGCCGTGCGTTGACCACCAGTGCCAGCACCATCATCGCTGCTTCCTCTGCCTCTACTGGTTCTCGCGTCATTGTCGTCGTTGTCGTCGCCGTTGTTGTCGCTGTTGCTGTTGTTGTTGTTGTTGTTGGCAGCGGCCCGCGCGAGGTCGCGTGGTGCTGCTGCTCTGTCGTCGTTCGTATTTTCCCGCCTCATATGGACTGACGATTTCCAGTCACATCTTCCACTACTATTCCATCTTCGCCGCCAAAAATTCAAACACTCCGAACCCACGACGACGAAGCAGTGTAACCAACAGCGATGACGACACCAAACAGCAGAAGCAGAGACCATGATGATGGTGCTGGTGTTGCTGACAGCGGCACACTGCTGCTGAGATCTGTGGAGAACACGACGCCCAATGCACAGGCACCAGCAGTGGCGAAGAAGCCAACGCTGGCAACTATGGAAGATGTCGGGTCCACAGCGGAGTGGGTCAAGCAAGCGAAGCAGAACAAGCAGGTGAAGAAGAAGATGACGAAAAGGAAGAAGCCTGTGCCTCTGCCACGAACACCAAGCAAGAAACACACCACAGCACACAGCGGTGTGAAGAGAGCGGCACAAGCACAGCCGCAGCAATTGGACACTGACCAGGTTGATCTCGTTCGCGTCGTCCCCCTGGATGAGGACACAGGTATCAGGACATGGAATGTTACCTTGCTTCTCGCATCTTCATCTGGAGTCATGTTCGAGGCAGGCATTGGCGCCAAAACTCGCAGCTGCTCATGTTGTGCGCTGTTGCTTGTTGTGGTGATCTTGTTGGACAGTCGTGGAGCAGTTGAAGGACAAGTTCAACCGCGGCGTCTGGTACAGCCTCGCAGGTGCGGATGATTGTGTGTGAGTGTGAGTGTGTGTGTGTGTGTGAGTGCATGTGTGCATGTGTGGTACTGTGTAGTCAAACATGTCCAACTGGAGACACGCACGCACACATGGAGACACGCTCACCTGGACGGTGATTGCCACGTCGTGTACAATGTGGCTGTGACTAGAAGCGTGAGTCTATCGTGCCTCTCCCTTAAAGGGGCTCTTCATTCATGCGCCCACCATTTCCTTGATCCAGGGCCAACGTTGATCGCCGTCAATCCATTCACGGATGAAAACCCAATCCCCGCAAGCACCTACAAGGCACTCTGTGCAGAGAAAGGTGGGTACACGTGCTTCTGTGCGCCTAATTTTTCGTGTGTGTGTGCGTGTGTGGGTTTGCATATGCGTGCGCGAATGTGTGTATTGTTCTTGAATGTATTGCCCTGCGCGTGTGCGACGAGAAACGCAGTACACCAAACGCTTTCCTTACACAATACCTTGCTCCTTGGCGTAGGTGATGCGTGTGTCCCACACGTGTACACCATTGCCCAGCGTGCGCTGCAACTGCTGCCGGAGACTGCGCAATCTCAAGTCATTGTCCTCTCGGGCCAGAGCGGCGCCGGCAAGGTGTTTGCGTGTGTGTATTTGTGTGTATGTGTGTGTGTGTGCGTGTGCGTGTGTGTGTGTGTGCGTGTGCGTGTGTGTGTGCGTGCGTGTGTGTGCTTGTGCATGCGTGTGTGTGTGTGTGTGTGTGTGTGCGTGCTTGTGTGCTTGTGTGCGGGCGTTACAGATGCGGGAAGGTAGGGTCAAGCAAAGCGCTGTGTGCATCCATGCTCCTGCTGTGTAAAGCACAGGCTCACCAAGCTCATTTTTGCGTATGTGCTCCCACGTGTATTTCTTCAACTGCGTGCAGACGTTCAGTTCCAACCTGATCCTGGACTACCTCACGCACACCAGCAGCTCGCCATCATCCTTGCACAGCAGCCCATCGGTGAGTGCGGTAATGGCGGCAGTGTCAGTGCTGATGGCGCACGTGCTCGCTCAGCATATTATGTTAGGTCTGCACCACTTTCGCACTTTCCCACTCCCTTTCTCAAACCAACAATGAAACGCGTTCCCACTTATGTACCACATACACACGCACACACACAACACAACACACACACTCACACACACATACATACACACACTCACACACACACAACACAACACAACACAACACACACACACACACTCACTCACAGCATCCTGTGGTTGAGGCGCTGGCGGCCTCGAGTGTTCTGCTTGAAGCGTTTGGTAACGCCGGGTAAGGGTTCCCTAAATGCAGTGCACGAGTAGCAGCGCGCATGTCTGCGTGTCTCCGTGTGCGTGTGAACCCTCGTCTATTCGTTTGTCTGTCTGCCTCTCTTTCTGTATACCTGCCTGTAACACGCACATAAACTACACCCTCACGAACACGCACACACACATACATGACAGAACCGTGAACAACCACAACTCAAGTCGCTTTGGAAAGTTTGTGGACCTTCATTTCTCCACACAGGTAGAGTGCTCGTTGGTGCGTCCTCTGCCACTGTTGCCTGCAAGTAAGTCGATTTCAGTCATTCACACACGCATACACACATGTCACCGCGTTACATTCTGCGCGCCATCAAACAGAGCTCGCTCACATCCGCAACCATGAAGGTAACACAACAACACACCTCTTTGGGCATGGTGGTGTTGGTTTTGTGCGCTTGTCTGTCAGTATTCGCGTTCACATGTGCACGCGTGTGGGTACGCACAGTGCTCTCACCCCTCTCATTCTAAACCCACCATCACACCCACTCTACCCTCACCAACACCCACCCCTCGCCACGGGCACCAGACTTACCTGCTCGAGGCGTCGCGTGTGACGGCGCAGCAAGCCGGCGAGCGAAACTTTCACATCTTCCACTACATGGACGAAGACAACTACGCACACGAACACCTGGGCATGCCAAAGGAGTATGTGCTTGTTGCTTGTTTGCTTGTTCGCTTGCTTGCTTGTTTGCTTGTGTGTGTGTGTGTGTTGTTTTTTGTTGTGTTTGTGTGTGTGTGCTCGCGCGAAAGAGTGCATGCGATCTCCCACTCATGCTCCTAAGAACGTGCAACGTACACACACACACACACGTACACACGTACACACACACACACACACTCACCATACACACATGCATCACACCTACTCTCTCGTCACATCTGCAACCACGCCACATCACGCCACACCCCCTGCAGTCTGTTTGCACAATCGCGCTTCATGCCGCAACGCAAGGACATTGGCAGCCCAGCAAAACACCACGACCACGCACAGACACACACGCACGCGCTTGCATCTGTTGTTTGCGGCATGGCAAAGGCGTCGCTCTCCCAGGAGCAACAAACCGCCATTCTGCAGGTGTGTACCTAATGCACACACAGACACACACACACACACACACACACACACACACACAAAGGATCAACGTTCACGCAGTTGTAAGCAAGCAGACATGCAGACAAGCGTGGCACCTTGCACTCCCAAATGCTCTCAACACGCGTTCCACAACTCGCAATTACGCCCGCCCATCACATCTCCCAACACATCAATAGGGCGTGTGCGCCGTCGTGGCGTTGGGGACAGTCGACCCTGCGTTGGTCGTCACGTCTTCATCGCCTGTGCCATCACTGGTTCATGTGGCGCAACTGCTTGACGCAGACGCTGACACGGTTTGTGCTCGTCGCATTGTGTGCTCTTGCTTGTGGTTTTGGAGTACTGTCAAAGCGCAATGCGTCCACATATGACTCACACGGGCATATGTGGATTTACATGCACGCGTGCTCATGTTCACACACGTACTCACACACACACACACACACACACACACACACACACACACACACACACACACACACACACACACACACACACACACACCCGTCATACAACACCACACCACATCACCCCACCCCACCCCGCAACACATCACGACCTGCCTTCCTGTCACAGCTGTTTGCGCATCTAAAGTACGACCGGCTGCAGTGCGGGCGCGAGTGTGTGCACAAACCACGAAGCGTGGATGCTGTTGCAACCACAACCGCCGCCCTTGCTCGCTTCCTCTACAAGCGCATCTTTGCGTGTGTTGTTCGCAGCATCAATGACACCCTCTCCGCAACGGTGACACTGGCATCCAAGCAGCACCAAGAGCAGTCACAATCCACCATCGGTGAGAAACGAATCTCTCACGCACTGAGTGGGTGTATACGTGCAGGCACACACATGTTGGCAAGGCCTGTGTTTGTTCCACACGAGTGATCTTTCCTGTACACTAACATCCATGCCCCTTTTCTCGTCGTTTGCTTTCCGCTCACCCACCGTCATTGTGGCGACAAACACTTGTTCACGCACTCACCATCGTTGCTGCCATCATTGTTGCTGCTGCTGCTGCTGCTGCCGTCAACACGACCACGAACATCACCACCATCATCACCATAACCATCACGACCGGTCAAGGGCTCCTTGACATCTTTGGGTTTGAGGCGCTGCGGACCAACGCGCTCGAGCAGCTGTGCATCAACTTTGTCAACGAGCGCCTTCAACGCCATTTCGTGGAGCACATGATCGATGTCAGGCACGCATGCGTTTGTGCGTGTTCTTGAATGTACCGTTGGTGACTGCGACCATGCACGGCTTGTTTTTTTTTTTTTTTTTTTTTTTGGTTATTCAGATGTTCATTTCATGCCCCTTAACACACAGTTGCTCACTCCCATACGCGCGCACACTTACATACAAACACACACGCACGCACGCACACACCACACGTGCAACGTGTCTGTAGGCGGAATTGCGTGTGTACAAGACCGAGGGGCTGCTCGATTCGCAGCTGCTGCTTTCTCCCACGAGCGACGCATGTGTGCAGCTGCTGTCACAGCACTCGCACTCCATCTTCCGGCTACTCGATGAGGCTTGCAGGTGCAAAAAAGAAATCATGTGACAGCGAGACGTTGGTATTCCTCATACATATTGAAGCAGAGGATTCTAACCCCCTGTGACACAGCGCATTTGGCACCACGATCATGCCTTAACGATGTCACGACACACAATGTTTATACGCGCACACACACACAACATACATTTGCATGCGAATGGTGGTGTGTACTGTTTTCTTGGTTGCAGGCTCAAGCGGCGCAAGTCGCAGTCGAGTCAGATTTCATTCGCGCAGCGGTGCGACCATGTTCTCGCCGCCAAATTCAAAGGTGCCGCTGATGATGAGCGAGAATGAAGGGTGTTGCAATGCGAGACATGATGTGTCACTCGTGATGGTGAACGCTTCGGTTCTGACTGTTTGAGTTGCCACTTGAGTTGCTTTCTTCTTTCACTCATAAACACAGAAATGTACTCACACACGCTCTCTCATGTTCACTCACGTGTCCAAACACACGTCCATACACATGTTCACTCACATCCCCCCACCCGCATCACCCCCTTTGGTTCAGATCGGTTTGTTGGGCCAACGGCACGACAGCCGGGAACATTTGTGATCAAGCACTACGCGGGCGCTGTCACGTACTCTGCTGACGATATGCCCACACAGAACAAGGACGTCAATGAAGCAGGTGCACCCGACTGTGATACGCATGCACACACACACGCATGTGCACACGTGCGCCTGTCTTGTGTTTACGCACGTGCTTGCGTGTGCTGTACCTTTTATGAGCCATGGGATGAGTGTTGGGGCTGCATTGTAGTATTCTCTCACTTTGCGTCCACGACGACTGCACTGGTGTGTATTCAGTGTTTCGTGCGCTGTGCACAGAGGCAGAGGTTGCCCTCTTCCGGGATGCATGGTGTGAACCATCACCATCGACATCAGCAACAACATCATCGACGTCAGCAACAACATCATCCGGGACACCCTCCACCGCCTCAACATCGTCGTCGTCAACAACACCGCGATCAAAGCACGCCACCATCACCGCCCAGTTTGTGTCCGACATCAACGCGGTGCGTGTTTGCCATGAATAGCACATTTGCATGTTGCTCCAGTGGTGCTTGCTTCTCATAGCATGGGCTTGTGCACACAAGTGCATTCAGCCACATGCAAGTGCATCACCTACTCACATGCAAACGCGCACCTTGAAATGCACACACAAAACAACTCCCACAACTACCACGACCACAACCGCACCACGACGATGCACATTCAGCTGTTTCGACGGCTGTGCGCTTGCCGGGTGCACTACATTCGTTGTCTCGCATCAAACAGTACCGAAACTCAGCTTCACTTTGACGACAACGTGGTGCGTATCGTAATGCATCGCGTGAAGAATGACGCATGTGTCTCTGCCCGAATACCTGAATATGTCACCTTGCACTCCACACACGCACGCACACTCCACACACGCACACACATACATCCAAATTCAAAGCGTCTCCTCCTCATCTTTGCTGTCACTGCCACCGTCACCACTGCCATCACCAACGACAACCACAGGTGCGGCAACAGCTCCGAGCTGGCGGTATTGTCGACAGTTTGCGTGTGTTTGCGGCCGGACGTCCCGTCCACATCCGCTACGACGAGTTCATCGCCAAATACAAACCGCTGCTGGCGGCAGCCGCAAGCAGGTACATGAGCACATGTGTACATGTGCGTGTTTGTTGTATATTTGTTTGTTTGTTTGTTGTTGTTTAAGTTGTTGTTGTTTAAGTTGTTGTTGTTTAAGTCGTTGTTGTTTAAGTCGTTGTTGTTGTCGTTATTTAAGTTGTTGTTGTTGTTTAAGTCGTTGTTGTTGTCGTTATTTAAGTTGTTGTTGTTGTTTAAGTTGTTGTTGTTTAAGTTGTTGTTGTTTAAGTTGTTGTTGTTTAAGTTGTTGTTGTTGTTGTTGTTGTTGTTGTTGTTGTTGTTGTTGTTGTTGTTGTTGTTGTTGTTGTTGTTGTGATTTGGTAGTATGATGGCGAAAGGGCACTAGTCATCTCTATTCACACCTCTTCCATTCACATTGTGATGCATCGCTGACCCTTTGCCACAACGTGCCCAGTGCAACGCACGCCAAGGATGTGGTGCAATGTGCACTGCCAACGTTGCTGCAGCTGAATGATATGGACGAGAGCGAGCGACCGCTGTTTGGGAACACGATCCTGTTTCTCAAGGACAACCACATCATCCAGCTCAACACACGTATGTGTATTGCTGCTGCTGTTGCACGTCTACATGCCCGTTCTACTGTTCTCACGTCTCTCACTCTACTCACCATCACACACGCGCGCACGCACGCATGCACGCATGCATACAACAAAACACCCACCCACACGCATCTGCCCACAATCACCTTGTTAGTATTGCATCAAGTGCTGAAGCAGAGCGCCGTTGTGATGCAATGTGTAGTTCGCGGCTTTCTTGCACGCCGCCTCGCAGCAGGTCAGCGATGCACGAGGGGTGCTGGCATCCATGGGAACGACCGAGGGGATACGTGGACATTGATTCCCATGCTTTTGTTTTGCGTTTGTTTCCTTGTTGGTTTTTCTTCGTGTCCCCTCATGCACGCGCGCACACGTGTGATCACACACACACACACACACACACACACACACACACACACACACACACACACACACACACACACACACACACACACACACACACACTTGCAGCGCTTCGGGTGGAAGCAGAAGAGCAGCGAAGAAAACAGCAGGAAGAAGAGGAGGAGGAGAGGCGACGGGCAAAAGAAGAACAGGAACAGCAGCAGCAGCAGCAGCTGGAACGACTCGCCCGTGAGGAAGCAGAGACGAGGAAGTGGCAGCAGCAACAGCAGCAACAGCAGCGATGGGAGGCTGGTGTTAAGCCAGTGGCAAGTGAAGTGCAACGTGTGATGAACAAAGCGCAACAACAGCAGGAAGAGGTGGAAGTTGAACAGCAGTGTACAAGCGAGCAAGCTGTTCCAGCATCATTACCACCACAGACGGAAACCATCACCCCAACTTGGCCTGCTCTTCCCCGCTCCGTTCTTCGTAACGCCGCCTTCGCCAACGCCACTCCTCTCCCTCCCATGTAGCAGCACTGACACGCAAGGCACACGTGCGCTCGCTTACACATACACAAACACACACTCACATACACACACACACATACACACTTACTCACTCCACACACACTCACGTACACACTTACTCACTCCACACACACATATACATGCTCATGTGAGGGTTTTGGCACACGCGTTGGTTATCTGTTTACTGATGCCGTACTTCATTGGCACAGCTGTTCAGTCGATTTGCCTGTTCACGTGTCTGGTGTTATCTCTTCTCCTCAGCTGAAGAAATACTTGGAATTCAGTACCTGAACGCATGCGCAGTGATTGCGTGAAGATGAGCAATCGCGAGCCAACAAGAGGCCGGAGCATCAGCAACACAACAAACACAACACAACACAACACAGCACAACACAGCACAACACAACGCAACGCAACACACCTCGTTGATGTCGAATTCGCCCTGCTCCGGGCACGGGTCGATTTCAACCGTCGTCTCGTCGTTCCCACGCGGGCGCACGTACTTGCGACCCTCATACTGCAGCCTGAAGAATGAATGCAAATCCTTCAACAGCGGACGCGAGTGAATGTTGACAAACTGCTCGCGCGTGTGTCTGCTCATTTGATCCACCGTCCTACGAACGGAGACGTAAGAGAGGAGGTGATGTGATGTGTAGATGTGTACGAGAGAGAGAGAATGAATGCAAGTGTATGTGTGTGTGATAGAGTGAATGCAAACGTGCATGTGTGTGTGTGTGTGGATGTGTCGTTGTTTGTGCATGTATGTGATGAGACTGTGATGTTCTGCGCGCATGCAAATGCACACAGAAATGCGTACATGGTCGCATAACCTGCACACACATACACAAACACACATACATACATACACACACACGCGCGCGCGCGGCCCTCTTCAAAGCACTTCCTCCACAGTCAGAACAACCAACAACACGATACGTACGCGGCATGGGTCCAGTAACTGTCGTGGACGCTGGCAAAGGCAACTCCGTCCTTGCGACACGCGTTGGCGGTCATCATCATGTGCGTTGAGTCGAGCGAGTGGACAAAGTTTGGTGGGAACGCTGACCCCTGCTTGCCAACCGCCGGCAACTGTGACGGATTGCCAGTCTCCACAAGCCAGATGGTCTGCAGGTTTGTTGAAAACTGCAAACGGGAAGTGGTCGCAGACACGTGCGTTTAGCGTAAGCAGAGTACCGTCGTGTGCAACAGATGGCGGGAGTATTGACAACACCACAGCACAACCACAATCAAACCACAATCAAACCACAATCAAACCACAACTACATCATCCTACAACCACAGTAAAATACAACCACACGACAACATGTTCCCACGACAACAGCATCCCACCACGACGCACCGTGGACTTGATGGCGTTGTGGTACGGCTGCACGACGGGCATGCCAATGGGGGTAACCCACGCCACCGGCTCGCCTGACGCGGCAATCTTCTTCGCCTGCTGGGACAGCCACTGCTGGATCAGCTGAGCCTTCTCAAAGATCTCGCCCAGACTCAGGAACACGAGCGCCGTCAGATATGACGCCGTCGCATACACCTTCTCAGGCGGCACCACCTTGGCAGCCTTCAGCTGGCGCCCTATCTGCTCCCGCCCGCCGACGAACGTCACGCCGTACACGTTCGTCATCACCGTCTGCTTGACAATCTTGCGTTTCATGGGGCCTTGTGCCACCAGCAGCGACGCAAGCTCCTGCGCCACCTCGTGTGATACGGGCAGCTTCGACGTGGATGAGAAGTCGCCCTGTGCGTGGCGCTGCAAGTGCGTGTCGATCGTGCGAGCAACGGCGCTGTACACGTCCTGCGGGCGGTCGTCTTCCGGAACGCGCACGAGATTCACGTGTCGCGCACCTTCCACGTCGCGTCCAAGCGCTGCGTAGTGCTGCAGGCCGTTGCACGTGCCATCCTGGTGGACAGGAAAACCGGACTCGAATTCCTCCGGGTTTGGGGCACACATTGCGTCATGTAGCTCGTTACACACAGCCAGAACCTGCCAGGGGTTGTCGCCTTGGAGCCACCACATGGGCTCCCCGTCCTGATTTGGCGTTAACGCAGACAGGAGGAAGGGGAAAGGCGGTACGTGTATGTGTTTGTGCGGAAATGAGTGAACAAGGCAGCGACACGTGTTCGCTTGTGTGCGTGCGTGTGTGTGCATTTATGTGCTGGAACGAACTACATTCAACCCAAAGCAACGACACCAACCCGAGTTACAAGCCAGCACACACACGCACACACACACACACACATGCATCTTGAGGTCACCGCCTGTCAAACCTCGAGGAAGCGGAGGGGATTGCGAACAGTCTCTTCGACGTGGTGCATGTTGTCTTCAGCAAACTTCTCGCGGTCGTCCAATGAGCACCTGAGAATACACGCACGCAGCGGAAGATGTGGGATGTGAGATTGGTGGAGGGAATGTGGTGGGAGAGAGAGAGACAGGTGGTGCGAGCGAGCATCACATCGGCAATCCACGTGAAGGCGGGGTGCAACATCACAATGATGACGATGAGGAGAGCAAGGAGGAGGAAGAGGATCACTTCCATCACCATTCACACCACACTGTTACCTCCACCACTGTCATCACCACCACCCCATCACCACTGTCACCAAGTGCTCACTTGTCATTGCCGTAGACGTTTGCAAGATGGATCTTCAGCCAGCGCAGGCCGTTCTTCCCCAGCGGCTTCTTCTCGGCAAACACAAGGAGGCCGCGGGAAAGGTCGTCACCAATGTGTGTCAGGTACGGAGCGATGGTGTACGCGCGCCCACGGAAGTCAAGGTTGTGCGGGAGGTAAAAGTCCTGGTCCCGCAGCTGTTGTATGGTGAGTTTGGATTGCAGTGGTGAGTGTGGATTGCAGTGGTGAGTTTGGATTGCAGTGTGGGCACGGAGGTGAGCGAGGTGCGAGGATGGCGATGAGGACAGCTCACGCACATGCAGACATGCGCATTCACACAGACATAAAACACAGACATACAGGCATTCAACAAATATACAAGCACACACACACACACACACACACGCACACACGCACACACACGCACACACACGCAGACATGCACATACACACAGACATAAAACACGCAGCCCGTGTACGCACCGCCTGTGCGACCATGAGCTTGAGGTGGAGAGTGGTGCGTTGGGAATACGCTTCCGAGCTCTGCTTTCGATGCTCCATGACTTGGCGCTGGTACTTGGCTTTGTCTTCCGCAGACATGCTGTCATGCCACGCACAGCGTGCCATGGTGAGTGCTCGTGCGCGTACTCGCGTCAAATGAAACGATTGCATCACTCGCAGGAGCATCTGCAAGCACTCACACGACCTTCCACATCCACGTCCACCTAAACACACACATTCATGTCCACACACACACACTCATGTCCACACACACACTCATGTCCACACACACACACACACACACACACGCAGTCATGTCCACACGTACTCTGCCGTCCTTGCTGGCACTGGCGGCGGCTGAATGATGTGCGGTGCAATCGCGAGCTCTTCAACGCCAACTTCCGCCTCAAAAGCGGCGCGCACCACATCAAACACCTGAGTTTAAACACACATCACACAGACACACACGTACATCACACAGACACACAGACACACGTACAGCACACATCACACAGACACACACGCACGCACGTACGCATACAGGTTCAGAGGATACAGCGACGAGATGTGAGGGAGAAGCGGAGATTACACAACGGGGAACAAACAAGACGCGTCTCACAACACAAACGCAATTTGCACGTGCTCATCACCTTTGTGTTGACACGCCATGCCATGGAGGAGAGGTAGGTGAGGGCATCAAACATATCGTCGAGCAGGTGGGTCGTCTCCGCAAGCAGCGCGTAGTGGTGGAAGTGCGAATCAAACGTGCGCATGATCGTCACTGAAGCACACACACACACAAACACACACAAATACACACACAGACACACAAATACACAAATACACACGTGTGCGCGCAGTTGACGAGATGAAGGGTGGGTGAGTGTGCTCGCAGGAGAAACACCTCAACACATGGCTTCGCAGTCATCAAGGACAAACCACATCATCATCATCATCATCACACGACGCTCACACCACGACCACCGCAACCACCACGACCACCGCGCCACCAAACCACCACACCACCAAACCATCACGCCACACCTGGGGAGACGAGGCTGGCACCCGTGCGCACGCCCGTCCAGGGCTTTGGCAGGACCAACATCGGCAGGTTCACGGCGTCAATCGACCGCCGAAACACATTCTGGTGATGCAGAAATGTGGCGGCGGAACATGTGTCGGTGGTGGTGTCAGGCATGAAAAAGTGCTGCTTACGAAAAGATACAAGAGATACGCACGTACAAACACACCCATACACTGTGCTGTGCTCATGTATGCACACACACGCACACGCACACACAGACGTGTACACACACACACACACACACACATACACACACACACGCACACGCACACGCACACACGCACACACACACACACACGCACACACACACACACACACACACACACACGAGAGCGAGCACAGCACCTTTCCGAGCTGGGCGTTGGTGGCGACAAAGTTGTACGAGTAATCTTGGACGGTGTCGTGGGTGCGGATGAAACCAAAACGTTTTGTTCCCTCAAATTCATACGTGTGATAAAACGCGGGCAGTTCCTTGTCTTCGGCTCTCCTGTCAACACAAAAACAGAATGCAGCAGGAGCAGTGTAAGTCATGGGCGAACACAGGTATGCCTGCATGCAAGCAACAAAGGCAATGAGAGGGTTGCGTCTGGCTGATCGAGTGGTCTGTACATTGGGTGTGGGCCATGCGGGGTATACGAAATTGGTTGTGCCAGGAAGACTCACCCTGTGATGGCAGACAGTGTTGCCTTTCGCAGGACCAGGTCGATCATTTCGCCACCAACAGCACCCAGCATCTGCAAACACCACGTGCATGCAAGCAGCTTGTGAATGGACAGCGGGAATGTGTTATCAGATGGAACGAACATGCTCAGCACTGCATCACACACACACAGGTGTACACACACACAGGTGTACACACACACAGGTGTAAACACACACAAAGACACACACACAGACACACACACACAGACACAGACACACACACAAGTGCACATTACCCGCGGTGTCCAGAAGGCGAGACCCGAGTCCTCGTTGGGAACAGAGACACCCGACTCAATCGAGTATCTGATGTGTACAATGGCAACGTAACAAGGCGTGGTGAGCGATGGCCATTGATATGCAACCACGCAACAAGCACATATTCCCCCACTACTTACATGCCTACACACACACGCACACGTACTCACGCACGCACACAACTAACACACCAACCAACACACCCACATGCACACGCACTATCTCTTCCACCAACTCACTCCTTCATGAGCTGGCGCCAGAGCTTTGACGGGCTGTGTTTCTTCATCTGCTCTCTGTCCGACATTATCTGGTGATAGCGGGCGTACACCGTTCGCTCCTGACGACCAAAAGGCAGAAGCAGAGGCGGTGGCGGTGGTGGCAGTGGTGGGTTTGAATGAGTGGATGGATGAATGGATGGATGGATGGATGGAAGACAAGTTGGCAGAACTGAAAAGAAACAAGTCGCACTGCACCACACTGCACCACGACCACCACCATCACGACCATTATCATCGTCATAATCATCAGAATCATCATCAACATCACCGCCAACCGCACCAGGTCGGAGGGGCCAGCTTCGCGGGCCAGGGCGACGGCGAATGTGCGGTACACAGCGCGGCCAATACTCATCACCATCGAGTTCATCTGGCAACGGAGGGAGACAATCAATGAAGGTAAGTCAGCGGCTGTGGTGGTGCAGTCACGAACAAGACATACAAGCACACAGATCAGATGGATGGTATTGTCTTTGATCACCACCACCACCACCACCACCACCATTTGTATCATCATCATCATCATCATCATCATCATCATCATCATCATCATCATCATCATCATCATCATCATCATCATCATCATCATCATCATCATCATCATCATTGCTCACCTTGCAGCCGTACGGGTTGGCCGCGGTCTGGTGCTCAAACTGACGAAAACAAACGAGGGATTGAATGCATGGGTGAGCTCAAGTGGGTGCAGCAGTGCCACGGACCAGTAGTCCCGCATTCTTGCACATCCGCACACACAACTCAACACACACACACACACACACACACACGATCACACGATCACGACTCACGACTGAGAGGGCGGCAGTAGCGATGGCGCGGGAGTCGACGAAGCTGTTGTACAGAATCTTCCACGCCAGCTCAGCATCCACTGTGGCAGTGGTGATCACGGTGGTGGTTTTGGTGTTTGTGAGCATTCTTCTGCACACACACACGCACGCACACACACACACACACACGCACATACACACACACACACACGCACACACACACACGCACATACACACACACACACACGCACACACACACACACGCACACACACACACACACACACACACGCACACACACGCAAACGGGCAGCCCTTCGCGCGCGCGTGTGCGGGGCACCTTGTTTAGGGGACGAGACCATGATCTCGCGCTGGTGGTCGATGGCGGCTGCAATGTCGTCGATCCAGATGTGATACGCAGACATGTTCGTCTCCGCTGGTGATCAGGCAGCAGCACAGTGCGTGCGTGCGTGCGTGTGCGTGTTGTGTGTGTGAGTGTGTGAGTGTGTGTGAGTGAGTATAGCGTGATGTAGGTGTGCAGGTCTGTGTGGTGACGCAAAGGCTGAGGCTGATCGCTTGCGCGTGCCGCAATGAACCGTCACCACGCACATACGCATGCGCACACGCATGCACACACAAACGCTCTGTCAGGCAACCTTCCCTCCTCAATTCAAAGGTACTCTCGACACGACCATCAGTGTGATCGTACAATCTACGTTTGGCTTCGCCATGAACTCGTCAAACGCTTCGCGCGTCGATCGCGTGGGAATCGCATCCAGCTGCACAGACACACACACACACGCATACACAACATGTACGCACACGCATACACACACGCATACACAACACGTACGCATACACAACACGTACACACATACACAAGCAAACGTTATGTTAGCGATTGTCTTTGCTTCATCGATCACCACAACCATTCATCATCATCATCATCACCACCACCACCACCACCCCCACCCCCACCCCCACCAGCGTAGTGTGTGACTCACGGATACACCGAGTGATGCCTCCTGGTTCCACTGCTGCTCGTACAACTCGACGTCCACCACGTGCGGTCGCGGCCGGCTCGCATCCGCCAGCCCGACGCGCTGCAGTTGCTACGCACATAAAGGGGAGGGGGTGTGGAATGTGAGTTTGCACCAGGGTGTATCGTTGTGTGTGAACGTGTGTGGGTTGAGACATTGGACACACACAAGCATAAAATGCATGTATATGCTCTCTCTCTCTCTCTCTCTCTGTTTCTCAACACATACACTCACAGACGCACACACACATACACACATAGACAAACACACACACACACATAGACAAACACACACACACACACATAGACACACACACATACACACACACCTTCTTGAAGAGGTCGAGCAAGTTGATGTCTGTGGCGAAGAGCGGTGCGCGCAGCATATCGTGATGAGAAAACCCCATGTCAGCTGCAAGCTGTAGGATGTGGCGGATGGCATCTGGCTTGTCGTGGCGTCTGAACGTGTGCGCGCGATGAAAGGCGGAGAAGAGCGTGTTTGGAGGGACAATCAGGAGGAACAAACGCAGTTAACGCGAGGCGTACATGTGTGAGTTGACGTCAGCTACGCTTTCATTCACAGGCTTGTACACAAACAAACCGCCAGGCCGCATACACGCATATACGGCACACACACACATACACACACACACACACACACACACACACACACACACACACACACACACACACACACACACACACACACGCACACACACACACACGAGGACGCAACCTGATGGCAAGGATGAGCAGGGCATATGTGGTTGCATCTGGCGGGACGTTCATGTGCAGCATGTGGTTGAAAATGCTCTCGCAACGAAGATCATACGTCTGGAAGTGTGTGCATGTGTGTGCGTTATGTGTGCGTGCCCACGTGTGAGCGTCCAAAAGAAATTCGTGTAAGACGTAAGACACACGTGCGCATCATCCACACACACACACAACACACACCAAACACACATACACAACACACACCAAACACACATACACAACACACAACACACACAGCACGCACGTGTTTGGCGCAGTGTTTGAGGAGGATGTTGAACTTGTCCGTGGTGATTGGCAGCCGCAGGTCTTCGTTGTACAGGATCTCCTCTGCCAAGTTGATGTTGCCGTTCTGCACGTGCACTTCAAACATGGCCAAGTACTCCTGCACCTGAGAGACACAGCGCTTCTCTTCCACCAGCTGCTCAATGAGACCAGGCTTGGTGGCCTTCTTGCCCTGCGGCGCGTTCTCCTCTTGCTCGGACACTCGCCTCAGCATGCCCAGCAACTGCTGCGTGACTTTGCTGTACACGGGCAGTGTGGATGAAGGTGCCGTGCACGAGTCATCCGCGCTTGCGGTCCGCGTGGCTGCTTGGTCCGCGGCGCCAGCTACTGTGCTCGGTGCTGTTGTGTTCGCATGCGCATCTGCCACCATCGGCGTGTCTGATAACGGCAGCGTGTCTGCTACCGACGGTGTCTCTCCGTTGGAGGAGTATCGCCTGCGGTGCTGGTGTTGCGCTTGTGGCTGCTGTGGTTGAGGCGCTGAAGCGTGTGCATGGCGATGCCAGTGCAGCCATGGCGCGGCGCCAGCCGTTGCTGCTGCTGCTGATGATGATTGTGTGTGCGATAGATAACGCAAGCTGGTGTGTGGCAAAGTAACCTGCTGGCGACCATGGCGCATGGTGCTCCCGCCCTTGGGCATCAACGAGCACCAGCAGCTGGCCCTTACGCCGCCGCTTCCGCTGCTGCTCTGGTTGGCGGTGGTGTTGATGGAGCTGCTCAAGGTGCTGTTGCTGCTCCAGCGTCTGCATCCAGCAAATATCTGTTGTTGTGCACGGGCACTACCTCTTCTTATTTGGCTGCTTCTCGCAACCAACCCACCCCTCTGCACAGCACTGACCCTGACGCTATTGCTTCCAGTCCCTCCACACCGCAACAACGACCATCTCGCCGCAGCCGCAGCGGCTGCGCCTGTTGCGCCTCCGCCTCGCATCGTCGTCTTGTCTTCTTGTCCACGCCAAACACAACGTGGGTTCTGAAAATTGCTGCAAATCTTCCACAACTTGTCCTCTTGCCATCTCAACTGCGTGCAACCACACAATACGACCGCGTCATTCTCCTCATCTTCCTCCCTCCTTCATCTTCACCCGTCTCTTCCATCCAACAGCAAGCATCATGTCTGGTGGTGGCCGCCCTGACGTCTCCAACCTCTTCAGCGTGAAGGTCGACAACATCGACCGATCCACGCGCGAGGAAGATCTCCGCGAAGCCTTCAAAGAGTTTGGTGCGTGCTTGGTTGGATGAGCTTTGCAGTTCACTGTCGGTTATGTGTTGGTTTTGTCGATATATCTCGATGTCAATTGTTCACTGTGCATCATGTGGTGTGGTGGCCGTGCATGCCAAACACACGCACAAGGATCTTACTCACACACACACACATACACCACACCACACCACACCACACCACACCACACCACACCACACACATACGCGCGCATCCACACGCGCTTCTTTTGCATGGCGTGCTCCTTTTCGTCCCCCCACATCAGGCGAGATTGGCGACATTTACATGCCCAGGTGAATTGAACTCACCCTTCCAGCCAACCACTGCAACACCACAAAACGGAGGGAAGGGAAGGGATGCTACACGCTTCCCTTCACCCGCTCCTTCGCACGCTAGCCTTGTCGCTTTCCCTCTTTCCCCTCCCCTTCCCCCACTGTTTACTGTGGCGCCTGCCCCGCCATCATTTTGATGCTGCCTCGGGCCTCCCAGCAGTCGCTGTTGATCCTGTGCCGTTGATACCACCCTGCGCTGCCGCTGCTGCTGATGCTGCTGCTGATGCTGCTGCCGCTGCTGCCCACTCGCATCACCCATCATCCAACACCTGTCATCTCTGTCCCCGTCCTGAATACCCCGCACGATCATCATCATCATCATCCTCCCTCCATCGCGGCAACGCGCACATTCGCTCGGCAGATACCGCGACACCATGGACCCACGCGGCTACGCCTTTGTGCGCTTCATCAACGAGCGCGACGCCGAAGACGCCATCAAGCACATGGACGGGTGTGTGTGTGTGTGTGCGTGTGCGTGTGTGCGTGTGTGTGTGTGTGTGTGTGTGAAGAGAGAGAGAGAGAGAGAGGCAGAGATGGAAGCACACCCACTGTCCGTCCCTCTACTACTGGGTGTGCGTGTGCGGTCGTGTGTGTGGTCATTAGCATTCATCAGGCTGCGCGTGATGCATCGCTTGTGTGTGGTTGTTTGTTCTGAGCTGGGTTGGGTCATCACCGATTTCACCGTGAACGGTCACCGGTGTGTGCACGCGATTTGTTCATGCCTTGCAGACAACAGCTGAACGGCAAGGAGGTGTACTGCCAACTGGCCAAGTACTCCCGCCGCGCACCCCCGTGAGTGTGGCTCGTGAGGGGCTGCATGTGTTGCTGTGTGTTACTGCCTGGCATTGAACCCCCAAGCTGACCTTGCCATTCCCCCGCCCCTCCTGCCACACTGATGTTGCCAGCCCGCGCCGCCCGCGTCGCGACGACTACTATCGCGATGACTATCGTCGCGATGACTACCGTCGGGACGACTACAGGCGCGATGATTATCGTCGGGACGATTACCGCAGGGATGACTATCGGCGCGATGACTACCGCCGTGACGACTACAGGCGTGACGACTACAGGCGCGACGACTACCGCCGCGACGACTACAGGCGCGACGACAGGCGGGATGGGCCTCGCGACATGCCGCCGCCTCCTCGTGAGCGCAGCCGCGAGCGCAGCCCCCCTCCCCCGCGCCACGACGACCGCCCCGCCCCGCCGCCACTCGACGACCGTACGTCACGTTGCACACCACACATCACACACCACTCACGCACGCACACGGCACACCGCACGCACGCTTGTCTGCTGTGTGTTGTGTGTGTCTTGTGGTTTTTGTGCGTCTGCCTGTGTTGCAGTGCCGTTTTCACGCCCTGGCATGCGGACTCATCCTGTCTTGTCCTGTTCCCGCTGCACGGTTTCATGCTACACAGGCCAGTGAGCAGCAGCCAGTCCTCTCTGCCGTCAACTTGCGGTGCCTGCAAGCAAGCAAAGCAAACGAGCACCAAACAAACCGTCAATCCATCCATGCCTTGTGACTTGATCCTGCACCCCCCCCCCCCTTGACTTGTCTCTGTCCGCTTTCGTCATGTTTGTGCTGTCTGTTGTTCTGTTGCCTGCATGCATTACGCACTGCTGCTTCCTCTCCATTTCTCTCGTTTGTGGCTTGCGTTTGCGCGCAGCTGGTGTTTTCCCTCTCCACTAAACCGACCATACAAGCGATGCTGTCGCAACAACGTGCTTTGTTGTGACTTGTTGTCCGTGTGTCAGTGCTTCAATGTCGTGGTGGTGTGACGAAGAAGGTTGGGTCGTGTCAACAGCAACGACACAAGCAGTAGAAGATGTCAAAGTCCACGCTCACACATGAGGTCACATCACCACAAAGGAAGGATGGAAGCGACACCACAAAACAGGCGTTCACATTCAAAACACAACCATGTCACACTTACACTTGCTCCTCCTTGCTCAGGCTCTCTGCAAGCACACATATTGTTTCGCTCATGCGGAGTTGTTTGTCTTGCTCACTCACCCAGGCCAAGGGTCTGGTTGTAGTGGAGGGACGGCAGCGTGAGGAATGCAAGCGATCCCCGAGCAGCATCCGCCGCCACGCTCGACACAACCTACGGCCACAGTGGCAGCGCACCCAACACCAGGACACAACGTGATAGTGTGAGATGACAGGTGATCTGGGCCATGAAGCGTGCATGCACAGAGAGGAGACAGGCAGCAGGGCAGCAGCATAGCACACGCATACACACGCGCATACACACGCGTACACATACATGGACAAACAAACACACACACACACACACACACACACAACACACACACACACACCTGGTCGCGGCGGGTTGCACTTTCAAAGACAAGCTCAATGTGAACGTTGCTCGTCGTTTCCGTTTGTGAACCTTGAGTGCCGTCTGAGATGCGGGTGATCTTGAACGAGTCTGCGGGGCGTCCAAGGACAGACACAAGCTCAAGTGCAAGCACATCTTTGTGCGCGCGCACAAACGATTTTGGGAATGGTACGACCAGAACAACGTCTGCAGCCACATCCTCGTTGTACACGGTGCACGCGGGCCCAATATCGTGGCCGCACTCGGAGGTGACCGCCTCCACAGGCGCAAATGCATCGTCCACTTCCGCAGCGGCAGTGCCAATCTCCGTGAGGTAGGTGCGGATGGAGTGGTGGCAGCAGCCGACGGCGTCAACCAGGCGGTCCAGGCGACGCTGGCAGCCCCACGTGCAGTAGTCCCCCGTGCCAATGTCCTCGCACGCATCTGGACCAAAGTACGCCGTGCCCTGGAATGCAAGGTTCTCGTCAAATCCGCTGATGATGGCGTCCATCACGTCCACACACACGTCTCCCTCCTCCGACTGCAAGCACATGTACTTGAGGTGCGCGTCCGCGTGCTGCACAAGCTCCTCGGCAACGCTGGCGGCGTTGGACAGCGACGCAAGCTGGGGCGTGTTGCGAAGCCGCGCCAGGACCTTGTCCGAGCACTCGCCAAGCGAGCACAGCTGCTGCGCCCGCTGGGCAGGACCAGCGTGGGTGGTGAAGACGAGCACGTCCATGACGCGTGGGTAGCAGAAGGTGGTGCTGTCCCGCGCGCACAGCAAGTCCAGTTCTGCGACGTCGATGCGTGCAGACGACTTGCGGGCTTCCACCTGAATGTACTCAAAGAGGCAGGGCGTGCAGATGGCCTGCAGCGCGGTGTCGCGCTCTGCCTGCGATCGCGAGGTGTTGCGGGCGGTGCGGAGCTGCTCCTGCAGCTGCTCTGGGCTGAACTTGTTGCGGCAGTAGACGATTGTGTCGCTCGTGCCGTCGTCGGTTGTTGTGGCGCAGGTGAGGTCGAAGGACTCGCGGTGCAGCTGGTACAAAGCCCAGTCGACGCAGCCGGCCTCCTCCAGCTGGGCGAGGTAGTACGTGAATCCGCTGTGGCACGTGCCCGTGCATGTCGAGCGGAGTTGCGCTTGCGAAGCCTCCGTGTCCGGGAGGGTGGCGGCGTCAGCCATGACGTCAAGGCAGCCTTCCCCTGTAGCAGTGCGCAGCCAGCTGTCAAACTCCCGCTGCACGCGGAGACAGGCCACGCTTGGTGCGTTGCAGGCAGCCTGCTGCCTGTTGATGGAGCGGACGCTGGCGCGCACGCCGGCCGTGCCGAGCACAGCTTCGGCGGTCTCGCAGTACGACAACGCCTCGTGCAGCGCGCTCACTGCGTTGACGCAGGACGCGGCGCAAAAGTTGGGTGGTCCAGCATAGTTGACGCTGTGGTACAGCTCCTCCAAACCATTCACCTCGCACGCCGTTTCCACCGCCTGCAGCATCGTCGGCAGCTCACCGCACGTCGTGTCTCCCAAGAGCCTTGCCATTCCACCTTGCAACGGCACCAAGCACGCCACCACGACGGCAACCAACGCCGCCAACTCTGCCATCCGAAGCACCATCTTGCAGATGAGGGGAGGGGGAACAACAAGCAAACAAACAAGAAGACAGGCTGGCTGGCTGGCGATTGTCTCTTATGTTTCTCTTCTGTTGTGTTGTTTGTTTTGTGTGCGTGCAGGCACTCGAGGTCGCCAGGACGAAAAATGTGTGAACATTTCCATCAATCTTCGAGGGCGCGCGCCGGGACAAGTTCAAGCAGACAGTCCAATCCTTCCATCCTGATTGCACCACCATCCATCCATCCACGATGAGCTTCTTCGCCGCTTCTTCTTCTTCTTCTTCTTCTTCCTCCTCCTCCTCCGCTTCGCACCGTCTCCCCGCGGCCGTGCAGCGGGCGATTGCCGAAGAGATCGAGGACAGCAGGCAGTTCTTGGCTGACACATCATGGACAACGACGAGGAGCTGATTCAGGCTGCATTGGAATACGAGCGCGACTTGGCGTGAGTTGGTTTGGCGCGCATGCATGCCTGCGTGCGTGTGCGTGCGTGTGTGTGTGTGAATGTGTGTGTGTGTGCGTGCTTGGTGTATCTCGTTGGTGATGCACAACGCGATGCGAGGGACGTTCATTCACTGAGGGATGGTGTCTTGGTGTCTTCTCTCTCTCTCTCTCACACACACACACACGCACACGCACACGCGCACACACACACATGCGCACACACACACACGCGCGCGCGCGCGCGGCCAAGATCCAGCGCCATTTCCAGCACTGCCGCCACAACCGCAGAAAAAGCGCGCCAAGCGAAAGGAGATGGAATGCAAGTGCCGAGGACGAACCGATACACCTTGCTGGGAACGCATTCCCGAGCATGCACTCCAGCGCATTCAGGATCAGCTCGCCTCTCTGAAACAGCATCAGCGCAGTGAGATGGTTCGCATGTACCTGGTTGGCGTGCTCAACATGCCTCCGGCCGAGTGCACTCCTTCGAACAAGAAATCCCGCGTCACCTATCGTTTCCTAGGTAAGGTCGCACACACACCAACACACCGCGTGGGTTCGTTAAGAAGCAGTGCTCCTTTGATGTTCGCAGCTGTCTCGTCTGTTTTGCTGACGCACTTGTGTGAGTGCACGATCGCATGATGATTCACAAACGTTTGATCTGCTCACACACACACACATGCGCGCACATACACACATGCACACATGTAGGTGAGACCCTGTGCAAGGGTGGCATCTGCAATGCGCTGGGCGTTGGCGAAAGCGTGTTTGCGTCGGCGATGAAGGACATCCTGCAGTACAAAGGTGTCACAGAGCCACCGAAACGAGGCCGTCGTGCGGCTTCAAGCAAGCGTGGCGCCCGTCATTGATCGATAAAGAAGAGCACGAAGGCCTCCACTTCACAACAAGCAAACGTCTCATGTTCATGTCTCACTTCTTGTCTGTGTGTTTGCTTGCTGACTTTCACTCATGCTTTCATTCGTTCCTGCGCTTGTGTTGGGTGTGATTGTTGTTGAGATGGATGCCAGACGTGTGACATGATGCATGATGCGTGATGCAGTGATGCAGTGATGCAGTTGTTGCGATGTGACGCACACACGTTCCATAAAGCACAAAAGTCACGACATACAACACATTCATCAAGCACATGGTGGTGGTGGTGGTGGTTGAGGGTGTGCGAGTGGTTGGTGGGGCGCGGTGGCAGCTCAGAAAGGCTTGTCCTCGATGAAGCGAGTGACCATGTCCTTCACGGCGCGACCTGAAGCGCGTGGAGATGAGTGAGTGTGAGTGTGTGTGTGTGTGTGTGTGTGTGTGTGTGTGTGTGAGGGAGAGAGGGAGGGAGGGAGGGAGTGGAACACGGGCAGATAGACGGACAGACAAACACATAAACATGGACAGACAAATAGACAGAAAAGTCGACAATAACACCGCGAGACAACGACGTGCACGTGTGCGTCTGTACCCTGGTCGTATGGCGCAATGTGGCCGGCGACGCGCACGACAACATAGCGGAAGTCCTGGGCGGCGCGGACGTAGCTGTATCCGCAACAGTAGACAGACAGGCAGGCGGGCAGGTAAGCAAAGTGGGCGTGGTGGGGGCACAGCAACCCAAAGCAAAGCAACACAGAGCAAAGCAAAGCGGTGGAAGGTTGCACAACGACTACAACTGCAGCTGCAGCAGCCAGCAGCAGCCAGCAGCAGCCAGCAGCAGCAACAACTGATGGCATGCCAACGCACCCTGCAACCTCCGTGTCGGACTTCTTGACCTTCCACACGACGCGGTCGGCGCTGTTGAACTTCTTCGCGCCAGACCTGTCCCGCAGCGATAAAAGCCGTGACGAGTGTGGACGTGAGTGTGTGTGCGTGCATGAGAGAGTATGCGCGCGCGTGTGTGTGTGCATGTGCGTGTGTGTGTGCATGAGAGAGTATGCGTGTGTGTGTGTGCACGCGTGCAAAGGGAGCAATGGTGGCGTGTAGGCGATCAGACCATGGAATGGTGGGGAGGTAGCGTTCCGTCAGTGGAACGCCAACGATGAGATCAAGCTGGCCGTTGTACATCAGCACCTGAACACTCGCACACACGCACACGAGTGAGCGCTTGTGGGCACTTTGAAACCAAGCTTGCACCAGCTCCAACTGCTGTACACACACACACACACACACACACACACACACACGAACACAGTGCAAACCTTGTAGTTGTCCATGACGAGGGCGAGCTCTGGCTTGTACGAGACCATAACGTCTGGGATGAGGTGCAGTTCGCACTCAAGACCGCTGTTGAGCGTGGCATTGCCAACGTGGATGGCCTTGCGCACCCTGCACGGTGGCAGATGACGCCGAGGATGAGGGGAGGGGGCACGTGTTGGGAACGTGGTGAGGTGAGTTGCAACGACAAGAAAACAAACCAGTCGCCAAGAGAGCGACACACACACGAAACACACACACACGAAACACACACATACGCACACACACACACATACGCACACACACACACACATACGCACACACACACACACACACACACACACACACACACACACACACACAAACGAACAAACAAGCAAGCAAACAAACAAGCAAGCCGAGCAACGGCCTGGCATGAGCACGGACCAGTCCTGGGAGATGAACTTGGAGTAATAGCCAAAAGAGGCGGGGGAGATGGTGCGCAGAAAGTTGTCGTAGTCGCTGCCACCACACAATCATGGCAACGTGAACGCAATGCACATTCGTGCGGAAGGGAGTTGAGGGGGCAAGGCAGCTGTAATGCGGGCGAGTTGGTGTGCTGTGCGCACAGAAACAGACAGACTGACTGACACAAATATGCACACACACGCACACACGCGCACACATACACGCACAGGCGCACGAGTGCGCACGCATCACAAACATACAAGTGTGAGAGAACTCACAGGGTGCCGGTGAGGTTGTAGAAGTAGGTCGGGTACTTGTACACATCGCCGTTCAGCATCTCGTCCCAGATGTCAAAGGCCAGCTAACGAGGGTGGTGGTGGTGGTGGTGGTGGTGGTGATTGAAAGAGCAGTGGGGTCAGGAATAGCAGGGGGAATTGAGGACGGCCAAAACACACACAGACACACAGACACAGACACACACACACAGACACACAGACCACACACACACACACGCACGCACACACAGACCACACAATCAGACACCTCCATCAACACGCACCGTGTAGTTGCCGTTGTTGATTGCCTTGACGGTCTGGTCGGTGTACTGCTGAAGGACGTCGCGCTGGTTGTGGTCGGCGAGCCCGAGGTTGAACATCAGGCCGGGGATGGCCTGCATTTGCACAACGGGATCCGTCCATCCATCTAACACCAATTCATACGCATACACACATCCACACATGAAAGCACGCACACGAGAGCACACACACACGAGCACGTGTGCCGCGGACACACAAAAGGTGAGAGGAGATGGGTGTATGTACGTGTGTGTGTATGTGTGTGTGTGTGTGTCCATGTGGTACTGGAGCAAACGAGACGATCAAAACGCCAAGGGCACACGTGACGGTAATAATGAGAGGATGGCAGGGTGGCAAAGCAGTGCTGTGCTGCGCGCACCGCCAATGGAGACGCCCTTGAGCGGGATCTTCGACGCGTCGCTGCTGGCGGCGTTCTTGCGGTGAATGTACGCAGCAAACGCAGGAATGTAGTGCCCTGCAGGTAGAGCCACAGCAGAGTGAGTTTGAGGGGTGTGTATGTGTATAGGCGTGTAGGCACGAGTGCGTGCGTGCGTGTGCGTGCGTGCGTGCGTGTGCGTGCGTGTGCGTGCGTAAGAGAAAGAGGACATTGAGGGAGAATGCGGGTACCAACACAAACAAAACACACTGACAACGTACTGCCAGCCGACAAACAATGCCACGCACACACTCTTGCACAATGTGCGCACGCAGGGACAACAGTGCACATGTGAGTGTTGTGAGCGTTGTGCGAGAGTGAACGTACCGGCAAAGCTCTCGCCGGTGAGGTAGAGGTCGACCTTGGCCTGGTCCGGGAACGTGGCGTAGAACTCTGTGAGGCACGCGTACAGGTCGCGCGCAACATCCTCGCGCGTGTTGGTGGCATAGCCTGCGCAGGACCATGGCGGGCAATGGGATATGCATGAATCAAACAGCGGGGTAGTGAGGAGAAGCAAGTAGGATGAGGAGAAGCGAGTAGGATGAGGAGAAGCAAGTAGGATGAGGAGAAGCAAGTAGGATGAGGAGAAGCAAGTAGGATGAGGAGAAGCGAGTAGGATGAGGAGAAGCATGTAGGATGAGGAGAAGCATGTAGGATGAGGAGAAGCGAGTAGGATGAGGAGAAGCAAGTAGGATGAGGAGAAGCAAGTAGGATGAGGAGAAGCGAGTAGGATGAGGAGAAGCGAGTAGGATGAGGAGAAGCATGTAGGATGAGGAGAAGCATGTAGTGATACACAAATCGGCGCGCGCACATGTCCACAGAAGCGAGCAAGATTGTTACTCGATGATGCAAAGCTCAGATCATCCAACACGCAATCGACACTTGGCCAACTGACCCTTGCCGGTGCCAGTGTAGCTGTAACCAGCGCCAACGGGGTTGTCGATGAAGAGGAGGGAGTAGTTGGAGTTCCATGTCGTGTCGCGCTCATGCAGCTTCATGTTCTCATCAACATGGAATGGCCCAATCTCGGAGAAGAGGCCAAAGGTGCTGGCACCACCAGGGCCACCTGTACAGAGAGTGTGTGTAAGTGAGTGAGTGTGTGTGTAAGTGAGTGAGTGAGTGAGTGAGTGAGTGAGTGTGTAAGTGTGTGTGTGTGTGTGAGTGTGTGTGTGTGTGTGAGTGAGGGAGTGAGTGAGTGAGAGAGCAACTCTGTCAGCTGACAGCGCAACAAGAACAGCAGCACGTTATATGTGCGTGGCAATCTTTCATGTCTCGTCACATCAAGAGTCAGTGGCACGCGCATTCACAGGATGCCTTCGCATGCAGCCATAAGCGGCCGAGTGTCCGCACATCCATTCACATAGATACGCACAGATACAGAGATACACACACGCACGCTTGCACGCGCACCCTGGAGCCAGATGAGAAGGGGCGCATCTGGGTTGTTGTCCTGGGATGGGAAGTACCAGACAAAGAGGTTGTTGTCCGTTGTCTTGTTGACGGTGTAGAAGCCAGCATATGAGGTGTAGTTGCCAATACCGTTCACCTTGGCCGCACCCCTAAGCAATGGGAAATGATAAGATGAGGCAACGAACGGTGGGAAGCATCAGGTGAACATGTTCAGTGCAGAGCTAATCCAGCCAGTTGAGTGTACATGTACAGGAGTAAAAAAGGAGAGGGACGAGCCACATTGCAAGCGAGGGGAACACGCGCACGCACACGCAGATGGGAGGCAGTGTGGCTGATGCGACATTATGCACACGCTGTTTTGGCTTTGGTACATTTGCCACAGCGAACCCCACACAGGAGGACACTGCCAACGACGACAATCCAAACTCACTGGGCAGCCTCGACGCCGTAGCGCTCCCTGACGTTGCTGACAAGCAGGGGCTCGCCAACATCAGCACCTGGCGCAGCGTGCATGTTCTCGTGGACCCCATAGATGCGGCGGTGGAAGGCGGCAGCCGGCTGGGCCAACAACACGCACGCCAACACGCCAACAACACCAGCGAACACAACAGCAGACTTGATCATCATCATCATCGATCGATCGTCAATCAGTGTGTAGTGGAGAGGAGTGGGTGTTTTTTTTTTTGGAGGAGAGCAAACACACCTCAAAACACACGCAGCAACGTGGTGATATGACTGAATTCAGTCGCAGAAACAGGCAGAAGAGGCAGAAGGCAGAGAAGGCAGAAAACGCACACCAAGCACACACATACGTCTCTCGCTCGCTCGCTCTCTCTCTCTCTCCCTCTCTGTCTCAGACACACCACCGACAGCATGGCTGAGGAAGAGCTTGAGTTTGCGCCTACGATTGACAACCTGCTGGAGCAGGAGACACTGCGGTGGCTGTTTGTTGGCGGGAAAGGCGGTGTTGGCAAGACGACATGCAGCTGCAGCATTGCCATTCAGCTGGCACAAACGGGCCGCAAGGTGTTGCTCATCTCAACCGACCCCGCGCACAACATCTCCGATGCCTTTGGGCAGAAGTTTGGCCCAGACCCCGTTCCTGTGGACGGTGTTGACAACCTCTCTTGCATGGTTCGTTTGCTCTGTGTGTCTGTGTGTGTTGCGTGTGTGTGTGTGTGTCTTGTCTTTGTGTGTGTGTGTGTGTGTCTTGTCTTTGTGTGTGTGTGTGTGTGTGCGAAAATGTGTGTGTGCGTCTTTGTGTCTGCGTCCGTGTGTGTGCGTGTGTGTGAATGTATGCGTGTGAATGTGTGTGTGTGCACGTGTGTGTGTGTGTGTGTCTCCCTCTCTCCCTCTCCCTCTCTCTATCTCTGTCTCTCTCCCTCTCTCTGTCTCTGTCTCTCTCTCTGCCTCTGTCTCTGTCTCTGTCTCTCTCTCTGTCCGTGCACACCTCGTATCCTACTTTGTGTATCGCCACAACTCACAGTCTTGTCCTGGTGTGCTCTGTGTGCCTTCTCTTGAACATCTGCAGGAGATTGACCCCAGCTCGCAAATGTCTGGCGGACTGCAATCCCTTCAAGGTTCGAGGGCAACCTGGCGGTGGCGGTGGCGGTGGCGGGGGTGGCGAAAAGGCACCATGTGGTGTCGCCTTGTTGTTTTTCACTTGTTCTTATGCACAGGCGCGAACTTGCACATGCACTCACGTCAATACATACTCCCATACACACACATACTCACAACCGCACATACTCACAACCGCACACAACCACGCACGCACGCACACACACACACACACACACATATATATACACAAAAATACACAAAATACACAAATACACGTATGCAGAGACCAACTCTGAGATTGCAGGCATCTTCAAGAAGATTGGGCTGTCCATCCCTGGCATTGACGAGATCAGCACCTTCATCCAGGTGATGAAGTTTGTCAAGTCCATGGACCACGACATCACCGTGTTTGACACGGCACCGACAGGCCACACCCTCCGCCTGTTGCAAATGCCGGGCACCGTCACCAAGGCCATCGACATGCTTCGCGACCTCGACTCAAGCTTCGGCGGCATGCTCGGCCAGGTACCATGTGTGTGTCTGTGTGTGTGTGTGTGTGTCTGTGTGTGTGTGTGTGTGTGTCTGTGTGTGTGTCTGTGTGTGCGTGTGTGTGTGTGTCTGTGTGTGTGTGCGCGCGCCTGTGTCGACCTGTGTGTGTTTGCGCAAGTTGAGGAAGTGCAAGTGCAACACTATCATGCCCACGCTGCACCTTCGCACCAATTCCATTCACCACATGTGCGTGTGCGTGTGCGTATGAATGTCTTATATTGCACAGATGAGCTCCTTCATGGGCGCCGGCGACAAGGAGCAAGCGTTTGCACGATTGGAATCCTTCCGCGACTCCATCAACGAGCTCTCCGACCAGTTCAAGAACCCGGTGCGCCATGCTGCTGGAGCGGCTGCCGTTGCTTGTGTTTCTTTGTGCATGTATGTCTATGTATTGCCGCACACACACACATACACACATACACACACACACACACACGATCGCACACATACAAACTCACCCTCTCCCACGCCTCTCCCTCTACTTGTGGCAGGACCTGACGACGTTTGTGTGCGTGTGCATTGCGGAGTTTCTGTCCATCTACGAGACGGAGCGACTGATTCAGGAGCTGACCAAACTCGACCTCGATGTCCACAACGTCATCGTCAACCAACTCATCGTCCCCGACCCAGGTACACAGCATGGCGATGGTGTTGTTGTTGTTGTGGAAGTCGTTGTTGTTGTTTAAGTTGTTGTTGTGGTGGTGGTGGTGGTGGTGATGGTGCAAACAGCGAGTGGGCGGGGTGATTGTGGGAGGTTGTGCTCGTTGAAATTCACACACACACACACACACACACACACACACACACACACACACACACACACACACACACACACACACACACACACACACACACACACACACACACACACACACACACACACACACACACGTGCCATCACGCACCCCAACGCCACCCCGCAGCGAATCCGTGCGAGATGTGTCTCGCGCGGTACGCCATCCAGCAGAAGTACCTGGCGCAGGTAGATGAGCTGTACGATGACTTCCATGTCATCAAGCTCCCACTGCAGCGCAAGGAGGTGCGTAAGGTGGACGCCCTCAAGGCGTTTTCCGAAAACCTCAGGAAGCGGCTTGTGTTCCCAGACAACATTCAGCTGCCGGCAGACAAGTGATGGGGTGCATGTGTGGTGGTGATGGGGTTGGCTTGCGTTTAGTGTTGATTGTTGTTGGGTCTGTGGGTTGTGTTTGTTGTTTACGTTTGCGTTGGCGTTGTCTGTTGTGGTTGTGATGGGTGCTTCGTACCCTGGCACATATGAGCTTTCTGTCTGTTATGGTTGGGATTGTCATTGCACGTGGTGCGTGTGCCCTGTGCTCTTTGTCGTGGCATTCGGTCATGCACCAATACACAGAGCGAATACAATCCTCTGTGTTGGCAGCGGCAGGCTAGATACGCGCAGTTGTTTTATGTGGACAGCAACGAGGCAGACAAAGCAGCACACCCATAGCAAAAGCAGCTGCACATGCGGAACCAGCAACGGCACAGGACGCAAAGCAACGAATGAAGTGGCAACAACGCCGCCGCAGCAGCAACAACAACAACAACAACAACAACAACAACAACAACAACAACAACAACAACAACAACAACAACAACAACAACAACAACAAGGGTGAACAACAACAAGGGTGAACAACAACAAGGGTGGGCAGGGCACCAAGCACTCGCTCGCTCATTCACTCGCAGACACCAAGCAACACCCACTCCCTATTCCAACCAAGGAAGACACAAATGTACATGCACATAAGGGATACAACAACAACAACAGCAACAACAGCAACAACAACAGCTGACAGCTGTGATGATCATGGTGGTGGTAACAGCACCATACATGAAAAGATGAAAAGGTGCACATGCACACACGCACGTGCGATGGAGACGCAAAGGTGTGGATGTGTGGATGTGTGGATGTGTGTATGTGGATGTTGATCGAACAATCAATCAACCGACTATGCAAACAATTGATCACGCAATCGAATCAACCAATGCAAGAAAGGGTGATTGAACAGCCCCGTCCTCACTCCAGGCCAACCATGGCTGCAAAGTTGGCTGTCGGGTCGTCTGTGTCGTCGGCGAGATCGAGCCCCCGCTCAACCTGCGCCCGCGCCGTGTCCGTCAACGCAAAGTCGTCCTGAACAGCAAAGAGGATGGTGGGGGAGGGGGAGGGGAAAATGGATTGGTGGGAGTGATGGTGGCGGTGAAGGCGATGGTGGCGGTGATGGTGGTGATGGTGCTGATTGTGCTGATGGTGCTGATGAATGCGCAGTGACAGTGCAACAGTGACAGTGCAACAAGTTTCGAATCGAATGGCAAGGAATAGCGGCATTCTGAGCCGCAGGTACATGTGCAGGGGCCGAGGTATGTTGCAGACGCACCACTTCTTCCTCAGCCTCTTCGTCTGCTTGCACGCATTTGAGAAGATCAGAGAGCACAACCCGGATCCTAACACGCGTGGGGGGGGGGGCGGTATTGGTAGGCGGAAAGGCAGCGACAGTGGTGAGCACACGCCGAACAAGTTGGCACACGCCGAAGCGGATGCACACAACACACCCAAAAAGATGTAAGCAACGACCAAGGTGAACAGCAACCTGCACACACACACACACACACAAACACACACACACACACACACACGCATGCACGCATGCACGCATGCACGCACGCACACACACACGCACACACACACGCACACACACACGCATGCACGCACGCACGCACGCACACACGCACACACACACGCACACACACACGCACACACGCACACACACACGCACACACGCACACACGCACACACGCACACACGCACACACGCACACAAATGGTATGCAAATGAAACAACAGTAAGAGCAGCATGGGCAACGTACTCTTGCTGCTGGGGTTCGTTGTCCGATGTGAGGAAGGACAGGTCGGGCGGGGCGTTGGTCTGACGTCTCGGTTTGAAGATCCCTTCGCGGTCCTTCGGCCTGATGCAATCACGTCATATTGGTAAAATGGGTGGAGCGGAGTGATGTGAAATGATGGGAGGGAAGGTGAGCAAGTACATACATGGGGAGGCCCTCAGATACAGGCAAGCAGCCACGCGCTATCAAATACACTTGCACGTGCATACATACACACATGCACAAACACAAACACACATGCACACATGCACACATGCACACATGCACACATGCACGTGCGTATATGGACCACTGCACTCACGTGCGGATGGAGTCGCCTTTGTTGATCCGCAGCATCTCTTCAACCAGGAACTGCAGACACATGGCGAGGTGGATCGTTGCTTCGGAAACGAGCTTGATCCACTTCATCTGCAGAGGAGGCAGGGGGGGGGGAACGATCCCGGCTGAGATCAGAAAGGGAAGCTGGAGAGGTAGGAGCCGAGACGCCCGCACAACACAAGCACTCATATGCACACATTCACACATACACATGCACGCGCACACACACGCATACACACGCATACACACACACACATGCACACATTCACACACGCACACATACGCATACGCATGCGCACCTTCATGTCGCCGTTGTCGTCTGTGCTGACGAGGTATTCAAACTCAAGCTCCACGCCGTCTTCGGTCGAGTACGTGCGCCAGCACCGCATGCGCCGCACAAGGAAGTCGCGATCCTCCCCGCTCACCTTATCATGCAGACGCATGCACGCCGGCGCCGGCGGTACGCTGCCCAGCGACACCGTCACCATGCTATCGTTCTGGGCCGTGGTGATGGAAAGGGGGGGAGTTGGTTGGAAGGGTTGGAGGGTGAGAGGCTGTATGTGCGTTGTGTTGTGTGTTGTGTGTGCGTGTTGCGTGTGTTGTGTGTTGTGGTGTGTTGTGTGTGTGTGTGTGTTGTGTGTTGTGTGTTGTGTGTGTGTGTTGTATGTGTGTTGTGTGTTGTGTGTGCGTGTTGTGTTGTGTGTTGTGTTGTGTGTTGTGTGTTGTGTGTGTGTGTGTGTGTGTGCATTGCACGCAAAACGTGGGAGTTATGACCGCGCGTGTGTCTGATGAGACAACAATCCATGCCCATCCTCACCTCTGGCCAGTTGCACTTGACTTCGCCAAAGAACGCATATCCGTAGCCGGGCTGCTTGCGCGCGAGCTCGATAAACGCTTTCCTGTCATCATATGCACAAAAACACACACACGTGTGTGGTGGTAAGTTTAACAGTGACGGACGTATACATGTGGCCGTGGTGGTGAGTGGAAGCAAACATAAAATGTGGAATCGGCACATCGAAGAGGCGAACGAGAAAATGGGTGAACAAACAAAGAGATCGTTGACAAACAATCCAATGAGCAAACGAAACAAGACGAGCGAGCAAGGGTGGTTGTCCACAGCAGCAGCCACCAGCACCGGTCGCGTTGGGCCCTCAGGTCCTGGAGCTTCTCTGCGTCCTCATCTGTTGGATTGATGTGGCCGTTCTTCATCTCCGCAATCGTCTGCAATCCACGCAGGCGTGGGGCACATGCATGTGAGAGGATGGTGGCCACATGTGTGTGTGTGTGTGTGTGTGGGGGGGGGGGAGGTGTGCGTATGTGTGTGTGGGTGTTCTGAGTGTGTGTGGGTGTTATGTCGGATGTTGTTGTATTCTGATAGCACCTCCTTGTTTGGCCGTGAAAAACTTTCCACATCTGTGCCCCCGCGCTGGGATTTCAAGAAGGTTTAGTTATTTCTTATTGGATTGTCGCTTAATGTAGGGTTCATCATTAGTTCACGGGCTGTAGTCACACTCCCTTTACTGATCAGAGCAGTGCATAAAACGTCGGACTAGATGAGTGTGCCTAAATTAAGTTCTACTCAGGGAAAGACATGGTACCTATCTGATAGCAGCTCGTCGTGGTACAGTGGACTTTACTCTTTGATCAAACTATAGTGTGTCCTATATCTCATGCGCAAGGCCTATACCCGGTTATGCTAGGCGACGATCGCTGACACACTCGCCTGCTTGGTATGCAGGTAGCGGAGTTGTGAGTTATGGAGAGCGAATCTTGGTGTAT